CCCCAAAACCCCAAAACCCCAAAACCCCATAAATGCGAATAGTTAAAAATATTGAAATTACTAATTTCAAAATAAACTAATCATTAAAAAATAATCAAAATTATCCATATATATATCTGGATTTCCCTTATTAAATTTAGTCAATGAAATTATTGAGAAATTTGCACTCTCACAGTAGGATATTCTTATAATGTATTGATTACTTCTTGATCTTCCTAAAGTTGTTGTTTTGATAGTAAACTGCTTCTTATTTTACTAGTGTTATTATCTATATCATTAGGTTAATAATTCTATACTCTGAGCTAATCTTCTGTATTCACTGGACCTTCATCGATATCCTTTATATCTCTTTTGAATAATCCGTAAAATAATCTTCTATCTAGTTTTGACAATTTTTACTTTTATTAAAAGTTTTATATTCTAGAAGCAATAATATGCTCTCTTTCCTCCATCATTATATTAATTCCTTATCAACGTCTGGTTCACTTTCACTAGAAGAGCTTAATACCCAATCTTTTTGATGCTTCAAAAGTGTTCTTTAAAACTTATTGAATAGTAACTTTTCCATAAGTTTTACTTTTTTCAATCCATTTATGATGTTAATGACGCATAAATCATTGTTGATCTAGTCCTGAGATTTAGTTAATAACTTAATTTCCCTTCTCTATCTTTTACAACAGCAACAAATAGTTTTAACTATACAATTAATCTTGAACACATATCCAATTATAGCATCAGCAGAGTATGTAAATTTATATCTCTTTAAAATTGACTTCTAGATAATCTCATGAAAAGTATTGAGGATATTAGAGGTTAGTGAATTGCTTATTTTTTTAAGCAGCTCTCTTTAGCTAATCATCGTTATTTTTTCATCGTCATCTTCTTGGTTTTAAAATTAGTTTTGATGGCTTGATAGCTACTTCAGATCTTAATTAAAGTAGATTACTTTCTCTTTCTTTTTACTCTTAAAACATAAGCTTCTTTTTGGTTTTGAGTTGATAATATCTTAGACACCATTTGATTACTCAATTACCTTAATTGTAGTATTATTACTTTCACAATTGCTTATTGCATGATGAGTGGTACTTGCCATTGGCTTGACTTTGCTTTTATTCTTCTGCTTTTATTTAGGTACTTTATCTTTGACTTAAATTGTTTCTTCAATTATTTGTTTATAATACATTTGTTCTGAAATAGAGCTCGCTATATAAAATCCTATAAGGAACAGGATGCCTTAAAGACCACCAATATCACCAAGAAAATTTAAAACTGAATAAGCTGTTCTTGCGTAAGTAGTTTAAGCTTTATCTAACTTTATATTTATGGTTATAACATTTGGGTCATTACTTGATACAGTTTGCTCATAAAACCTGATATTAGACACTTGTGGAAATTCAATTTCTTTAGGTGGAGTTATTTACCAAACATCATCTAGTAATTCTGCGGCTTGCTACTTTACCAGCAAATCGGCCTTTTTATTCTTGCCAGATTCCATATCATAATAAATAGAATCATCTAAGAACGAATTGATTGGCTCATCGATGCTACTGGGCACAAAGTTCTTATTTACAAAGACAAAATAGAATTTTTAATTGTTAAGAATCGCATCTAGAACCACATTAGGGCTACATTTAAGGCTACTAAGATCAGATGCGCTTGTTAATTAAGATTAAAATGTTTATCCTAAAGGACCGATTATTGTTTTAGTTGGAGATGATGTAACATTTGAAGGTGAAGATGAAGTTGGATAACTAGATGGTAGATATACCCCGTTTTGACATCTGAGCAATCTTAATTATAAATAGACAAACTCGGGACTTAGATTATTCCCAGTAACAGAATATTCCTCTCCCTCATTTAAGCAATAGTAATTTTCATCCAATTTAATTGATTTTAGCTAAGTCTTATTTTAATAATTGAACTACTCAGCATTACATTTCTAGATAGTCATATTCTTTGTTTCATTTAGCTTTGTGCCATTCGCAAGATAATATTCTCTGATCTATTTTACATCGAAATAAGCAATGGATGGATCAAGATCTCTCTTAAGTGAAAATGCAAAATCAAATCCAGCCTCCTTTGGTGAGAAGGAAGATAAATCATCCATGTCTCTTAGTGTTTCTGAAATTTAGATGGTGGGGTCACCATTGTATATGAGTAAAATCAGTTATTAGTAGGTGTAAGCCAAGAATACCACGTAAACCATCAGACTAACTAAAGTTCCAATAATAGATCTTGACTAGCCTTCGCCCTTAATGGTCAAAACAGGTTAATGGCCAAACAAATCAAAACCCATTAGAAAATTCTTGAAAAAAGATAGTCTTCCTCCAAAAAACTATCCCATATAAATATGTTAATATATCTTACTGAATTCGATGGGCCTGATTAGATCATTGCTAATTCTTACATTCTGTAACTTTATCTTGCTTTTATTAATTTAAATTTTTAAATGACTTTGGTTTCATTCGATTCATAATGATTCTTAAACAGTGGGGTTTTGGGGTTTTGGGGTTTTGGGG